TTTTTTAATGCCATTTTTCATTTTTTTTCCCCCAGGAGTTTTTAATCAACGTGTTTTTCAGTTCCCATGTATTTGATTTTTTTTTTTTTTTTACTTTCCTTTTCCTATTATTTTAATTCCTATCATTATAATTTTATAGCATTGTGATCTGAGAAGATATTTTGCATTGTTTAGATGTCTTTAAATTTATTGAGGCTTGTTTTTTGATCTAACATATGGTCTATTCTGAAGAAGAGTCCATGTGCCCTGGAAAAAAATGTATACTGTGCAGTTGTGGAGTGCTTTCCATATGTCTGGTTTTTACAAATTCCTTTAATTTCTGTTATATGAAGATGACCTAATTTAGCCATCATCTTGGAGAGCTAATTTTGCTCGATATTCAATTCTTGTTTGGCAATTGTTTTCTTTTGGGGTTTTATACATGTCATCCTATTGCCTTCTTTCCTGCATGGTTCTTGCCAAGAATTCAGTGTTTAATCTCATTAGTTCTCCCTCGTAGGTAACATTTTGTTTTACCTAAGCTGCTCTCTTACTTCTGTAGTGATAACACCTCGGAAACCCAAGGAGGGGTCGCTATGTTGCACATAACAACAACAACAAGCTGCTCCCAGAATTCTTTCTTAGTCTTTAGTTTTAGAAAGTTTGATTATATGTCCTAGTGATTTTCTTGTGGGGTCTATCTTACTTGGAATTTGTTGAGTTTCTTGCATGGATATTTTCTTGTCTTTCATGATATTAAGGAATTTTCTACCAAGAAATTTTCAACAATTTTCTCTGTGCTTTTTCTAGTCTCTTCATGTTTTGGAATTCCTATCACTTGTCAGTTATTCCTTTTGATGAGGACAGGCTGGGTGGTGTCATCTCTCATCAGTCCAGTGGTGCTGGAGTGGGTGTTGGCACTCGCTCAGTGAGTAGGGTGGCAGGTTCAGCAGATGGGCTGGTTAGTGTGGATCAGTCACTGCCTCCCACTGGATGATGAAAAGAAAAGGGGTGGGGGAAATAGGAGTTACAAATGAAAAGAAAAACAGGTAAAAAATGGAGGAAGAGAAAAAAAGAAAGAAGAACAAAACTGGCATGGCATCAGGTATATGAACTGCTGACCTTGGAGGTGGTGGGTGCACCATGCCCAATTCACAGGAGTGTGCTTCACTGACCACAGAGGTGGCCATCATACAGCAACCTGTCCCATGGGAGTGTGTGCCACCAACCACTGAAGTAGCAGGCATGCACCACACAACCCATGAGAGTGTGTGCCACCAGGGAGGTGGCAGAGGGTTGCATTGCCTGATCGATGGTAGTGCATAGCACTCACTGCAGAGGTTGTGGGTGTATAGTGTGTGACCTATGACAGTGTGCCCTGCTGATTACAGCAGATGTGTGTTACAGGCCTCCAGGAGGGTGGAGTAGTGGGCTGCCTAAGGAGGGAAGGCAGGATGATGGGACCTCCAGGTGGGGGGTGGGCAGTAGGGGAGCATCACTGGTCATCGGGTCGATGTGGGTGAGGGGACACACCTCTAGTCACTGGGAGGTTTTGCGGGGTAAGATGAGAGAGCACACTTCTCTGGTCATTGGTCACCAGTGTGGGTGCTGGTGCACTCCCAGGTGAGTGCAGTCAGTTATCTGGTCCCTGCCATACCTCAATGCAAGAGGGGCTGCACCAATGTTTCTAGCTACCACCTCACAGGCCTTCCCCACTGTGTGGGTGCCCAGCCCAAATGACCAGGGACCACTGCTGGTGAATGATTCTATCCCTATTTGCTGGTTCCCTCCATGCTATGCCATCTGCTGAGTCTCTAGAGTTCTCACCCATTTTCGGCGTTTGCCTTCCTTAGATCTAGCTCTACGCTGTGTCTCTGTCTTACTGGGGAGTCCATGGAGTTGTCTTCCTATGACTTCAAATGGCTGCTGGGAAAGGACCTCCACTCAGTATCTCTCCTTGTTTGTGGCTTTTGTTCTGTTTCTTCTTCCAGTCAATGTTTCATCCACTCCTTTATCCTTTCGTTTGAAACTCAAGGTTCCAAGAGAATCACCTGTATTTGTTTCACTTGGTTTCTCAGGTCTTTGCTGTAGAGAGACTGTGTGAAGTATTTGACTAATTCACCAACTTCACTCCACTCATTCTGCAATTTCTTAACAAGAGAGTGTTTGTTTGTTTGGCTGAAACCGCTCCAGAGACCTGCCAGAAGACCCTATCATCTCATTCACCTCCACTAGGTTTCTTTATACAACCTGAGCCTTTTTGTCTATCTTTCTCAAACATTTTTGAACTGACATAGAACAAGTGCCATTTCTTGATTTCTGTAATAGTCTCAAGTGGAAAAAAAAATCTGAATACAAATCAATTGTTGGTGATTTTGTGAGAGTGAAGCTCTTCTATAGTTCCCCTCTTCCCCTTCCCTTTTAGAGTTTTAACCATAACACAACATACACATATTGTAGAGAAATTTATAGTTTCTAGACATAGTTAGAAAGTCCTTTGAATATGCAGAAACAGCCTACTTTTTTCTTTCTGCCCTTAGAGTACAGCATACAACAATTCCACAGTGCTTGATAGTTAAATTTAGAATCACTATTTATTTCTTTATTCAAATTGCTGTCTTTTTTTGTGAAAGGATGGAGCAAAGTTTGTGGAAATATCCAGCTACTGTGAAGATAAAGATACTAAGAGAATGGCCAGAGACAAAACGTTTTTCCCAGATGAACAGATGGACAGTGTAATAACAAGCGAGTGGCTTATTCTTTAAAAAAATAACTGAGGAAAATAATGTTTTATAAAAAAGAGAGTCACCTTAGCTTATCAATTTCATAGGAGAAGAAAGATATGCAGTGGTAATAGTATATGGGAAAATTAAGGCGGAAAAATAGGGGATAACAACATAATGTCATCATTGATCACACACTTGGAAACATACGCTGTTACACAGGAAGACAAGAGAAGAGGGTTGAAAGATACTGAATTTACTGTGTTCCAAAACTAAAGCACTGTCACCCTACTATGCTGGCCACTTATGTCTCAAACTTGTTTTAAAAGAAAACAAGTTATTCTTCTCTATCCTTTTACCATTCAGGTCTGGAAAAAGTGACTTTTATCACCTCTGGACTTTTGCTGAGGTGACTAGAGGCTCTTATTAGAACTTGTTGTGCCATCGATTCTAAGTGAGGTCTATGATGTTCCGTCAAAGTATCAGCTTGCCTTGACACTTTATTCCTTTTGCAATATGTTCTTATTCTTCTCATATTTTATGTAATTTCCACAATGGCCAATAGTCACTTATCTCCAGCTTTGTGATCTGAACTCTGAAAAAGTAACTCTCTAATGACATCCCTCATGTTTATTCTAAACACAAACTCTTTTCTAACCACTTGGTAATTGAAGGGTACATAATTAAATGGAATGACACAAAGATCCTGGCATTTCTCTGCCTCTCCTAGCAAAATAAAAAGGAATTCCATAAAGTGAAGCTTTTCTTTTCTCAGAAACATGTTTGCAAGGTCAGAGTCAGGTGATTTTTCAGTCTCGGTGCCTTCATCTTAGGACTTAAGCCCCAGATCAGGGATCTGGCTCTTCTCCCCGTCCATACTGCATCCTTAAAGGGAACTGTTCAACCAGGGCAGTGTTACCTAGGCTTCCACAGGTGCCCCCTCTAGCAGCAGGTGTTAGGGATTCTTAGTCCACCTGGTGTAGTGCCAATGGTTAACACACTTACCTAAAGATTGGAGGTTCTAGTCCACCCTGACTCCTTTAGGAGAAAGGCCTGATGATTTCCTTTCAAAAACTCAGCCACTGAACCCCATGAAGCACGGTTCTACTCTGACGTCAACACAGAGGTCACCATGAGTCAAAATGGACTCGATGGTGGCTGGGCGCAGATACTTACGGCAATGAGAAGATGGAGGTCATAGAAGAATTTAAAAGGACATTGAACAGAACTAAGCCTCAAAAGGAGAGAAACGAGGTGGGGGTAGTGCTGGGAGCTGGCAGGAGGAGTTCAGAGCCCTTCACCCAGCTCTTCCCCCCACCACTGTGCTTCTGCCTGTCCTCCAGCAGTATCTGTGTAGCTTCCCTTGAACGCACAGCCTGCGTTCTAACTTCATCTCATGAAGACGTCTCATGGCCTGAACTCTACTTTGTGACTCCTCTTTTCACACATCCTTTAAGCATCATCTCCTCTCCTTATGCTTCTCAGTTCATGTCTCAAATAATCCAATTCTGTCCTCTCGGGGATTAGCCACCACCATTCTCCAGGCTGTGAGTTGCATGTTCTTGGACCAGCTTTGTCCTGGGGAGGTGGACACATGCTTCTCATGCAGCTGTCCTTCCAATGGGGGGTGGGTACAGTATGGGTGCACTTGCGGGTAGGGTCTCTGGCAGCTTCATTTACTCCTGGAAGAGTGATTGTCCGGGACAGTGCTGTCTAATAGGGCAGCCACAAGCCACATGCAGCTATTTAAATATAAACTAACTAAAATTAAGTTACATATTACTTTCTTGGTTGTACTTCACTTATCAAGTGTCCAGTTGCCACACTCGGCTAATGGCCACTCTACTGGACAGAGCTCGTGGGGCACATTTCCACCATCACAGAGAATGCTGTTAGACCAAACTGGCCTGGAGATTCACAAAGAGTGAAATATGTGGGAGGCTCCCCAGGTAACCCATCCGCATAGCCACAATGAGACTCAAGGACGCCTGTCTTGCAGTGAACGTAAACCCCCAGGAGAGACTACAATTGCTCAGGCTTCTGTGTCCTTTGGATCTGGAATAAACCAATTACCAATGATGCAGTTTTCCAGCATAGCTGCCCTGATGCAGAGTGGATTCCTCAAGGGTGCTGTGGGGTGGGAAGTCCCCCATCTTTAGGGACCAATGCTAACAAATAAATACATATTTTTATTGATGTCAGAAATCTAAAGGATGAGACTTTAAGGCATTTGTGTCACTGTTCCCCTGAATCTCATGGAGAGCAAAGCCCCCACCTCCAGGCCTCTCCTTGACGTCCTCACCTTGGCCTCTCCTTGCACAGTGCTCTCCGCAGGGCCCCCTTCACCTCTGCGTTCCTCAGGCTGTAGATCAGGGGGTTCAGCATAGGGTTGAAAAGACTGTAGAATAAGGAAAGGACCTTCTGCCGCTCCTCAGGGTGGCTTGATTTGGGGGCCATGTACATGACAATGGCACTGCCAAAGAAGAGCCCGACCACACAGAGGTGGGAGGAGCAGGTAGAGAAGGCCTTTCTGCGTCCCTCCCCAGACTGGATCCTCAGGATGGCAAAGAGGATGCGGGTGTAGGAGAGCAGCACCAGGCAGAGGGGCCCCACTAAGATAAACACAGAAGCTGCAAAGATGACCACTTGGTTGAGCCAGGTGTCAGCACAGGCCAGCTTGAGGACAGACAGGAGTTCACAGAAGAAGTGGTTGACTACATGAGGTCCACAGAAGGGCAATCTCAGGAGGAGGACCACATGGACCAGGGCCAGAAGAGAGCCACACACCCAGGAAGTGATGGCCAGGACAGTGCATATCCTCCAGCTCATGATGACGGTGTAATGTAGGGGGTGGCAGATGGCCACGTACCTGTCATAGGACATCACTACCAACAGTAGGCACTCAGTGTGAGCAAAAGCCATGTATAAAAATGTCTGCATTATGCATGGGGCAAAGAAGATGGTTTTTTTCTTGTTCACAAGGTTTGCCAGCATCTTAGGGACATTGTTGGAGGCATAGGATATGTCCACAATGGCCAGATGGGAGAGGAAGAAGTACATGGGGGAATGCAGTTGGGGGTCCAGACAGATGAGCCCCACGATAGCCCCATTTCCCAGGAGGGTGAAGGCATAGAACAGGGAGAAGAGCCCAAAGATGAGCAGCTGAGTCTTCAGGCCAACAGGAAACCCGAGGAGGATGAGCTCTAAGACGACTGTCTGGTTTTCTGTCATGCTCTGGGATGGTGCCTTTACGGGCCACTGCTGCAGCTGGGCACTTGAGGTGGGAGCAAATGCAGATCAGGATCAATATTACACAGAAAAAGAGAGTGTATGGTGCACACCATTTGTAGGCATAGCATTTGCTTTCAGAGACATTCTGGCAAATCTTTTAATCCACAGTAAAGCAAAAACAAAGTTTCTTTCACGTAACTGGTGTAAGTGTATAGAGCATACTAATGTGTAGCTTACACACACACACACTACTAGTATGCGGGCAAGTGATTACCTATGTAAACAATAATCTGTCATTCCTACTCCCACTCCCATCCCCACCTCCATGCTTCTATGGTTCTGTTTCTGGTATAATGCATTTGAACAGAATACAGTACATTTGTTGAGTGGATGGAAGGAAGGATGGGTAGGTGATTGGGTTGGATAGATGAGTGGATGTGTGGATGCGTGGGTGGGTGAATGGGTGGATGGGTAGACAGCAGGCATTACATTAGGAATCACTCCCAAATGGCATATCCTGGATTTTAGTCAAGTATTTCCACTCCTCTTTGATATTTTTTTCCTGCCACTCCACCAGCCACATGATCACAGACCTGGGAGAACTGGGATGTCCCAGAGAAGTCTACACCCAGTATACGACCAGTGGCTCATGGGTTGCCTGCGTCCCCAGCTCTGCAAACAGCAATGTCTCAAAGCCCAGAAAGTGCCTGCCTGTTAGTTGACCCTGTACCTCCAACTCAGTTTACTGATTTCTAGAAGCTTCCTTCTTCCAAACCCTTGCTTCTAAAAACAACCATACTTTGCAAAAGATCCTTTACTCACTAGGAGATCAGCCTTAGTCTTATCTCAGAGCTATGGCCAGCTTTAGAGGAAATTGCACACAGCTCAGGAGAACTTTTGAAGGTCAGATTTGAAGTGTGTGGTCCCTCTGAGTCTCAGAAAGAGGACCGTCACTGCTCTCTCTGCTGATGCAGTCACTGGGTCTTCTCACCATGATCAATGGCACTGAGGTTTTATCCTGAGGTCCTCTCCACCCAGCCTCTCCCAGATCACCCCTGAGAGTTTTGTACAGGGAGAGAGGACCAGAATGCTCAGCACAAAGGCATCGTCTCTACCAGGAGACCCACAAGTTGTTTGCCTCTCCATCTCTGCACTCTGGGCCCTGGGGACAATGGTCAGGAGGAAAAGAGCTGGCAGGGGGTGACTCAATACCCAGATGGATCCATACACATGAAACCCATGTCACAATAGAACATACATACCCGGGGGATCACAGGGAAAATTACGCTCCCCCAGTATTGGGATGGTGACGGTTTCCCGGGTGTCAGTCTTGCTCCCGTTGGATTAAGTGGAGCTCAGAGGAGGCAGAGCCAAGCCAGCATCCTTAGCAGATAATGACTTGGAGACTGACTTTTCTCTTTCTCTGTCACTCTCTTCCCCTATCCTCCCTCCTTTTTATTCATCCATCCTGTCCTTCTCCTTATTTGCTGTACTACCCAAGTTTATGTTGTACTACAAATGAAAAAAAATAATAAATTGACTTCAAAATTTTAATTTCTGAAGAATTGTTTTAGGAAAAATTCATTAATATGCATATTAATCAATATAGCAAGGAGGTCATACCAAGTGGTCTTCACTTTCCTTAGTGCTTTTAGACAGGATAATTCTTAAAATGCTCTTGGCCCTCCTGGACTTTAAAATAACATAGATGCTCAGATGCTCATAGCAGAAAAATTGAGCTGCATCATAAGTCCATTATTCAGAGAATATACCATTTGGCCCCAGGGTTACAGGTGAGGAGAGACAACTCAGGGACGCCCAAAGCAGCAGGCCAGAAGAGCAGGAGAAGGGGATTAAAAGCCAGGAAGCCAGACAGAGGAATAGTCAGCCACAGGGACCCAGGTGGGGGTGATACAAGAGGTCTCCAACAGCAAGACAAACTTGTCTGTCAGTTTGTCCTACTGTGGTGACATATAGATGTGAGTTTTGAGGCTGAGCCTCTGGTGTTTAAAACCCAGCGAAATGCATCTGGTGCACAGGTAACAGACCAGCTTATAGACTGAGGCAGACTAGGAAGAAGGAAGAGGCCATCCACTTGTCAAAGAATTGGCCAGGGAAAAACTGATGAATAGCAAAGAAACACTGTTTGGTACATTACCACACACCTTTAGGAATAGTCCGTTTAGGCTAAAAGGCTCTCAAAATAGGACCGGGAAAGAGCTGAAACATCTGAGTAGACCCAGCCTTACTCATATGGATAAGAGAAAACTTTCAAAACCTTCATTTGCTGATATGGCACCACTCAAATTGAAGAGAAACAGCC